TTTCAGCGTCTTGCTATCTCGCAGGGGGAACAACTCCACCCACTTTGTGAAATAGTCAACAATCACTAGCAGGTATGCGTTTCGTTTCTTACTCAGAGGAAATGGACCCATGAAATCCATCCCCAAAGTGTGTCCTGGTTCATTAACCTGGGTATGCTGTAGGAAGCCACTTGGTCTTGTATTTTCATGTTTATATTTTTGACATATTTCACATCCTTTGACATACTGCCAAACATCCTTACGGACCGACGACCACCACGCTACTTCTAATAGTCGCAGCAAGGTTTTTAGTCGGCCTAGATGTCCTCCCAGCGGGTTATCATGGAAGTAATGTAAGAAACCTGGTATCAGCTCCTGCGGCACAACCAACTGGAACCGCTCTCCATCATTCTTGATTGGGATGCGCCGATATACCACCCCCTGGTGTTCTACGAAGGTAATCCTTTGATCTTGCCTCTTACTATTCTGGGGATTCCCCAGCAGGAGAGCAATATTACTGTCTCGGCTTTGGGCCTGCGAGATTTCTCCTAGAGTGTGAGGTATGTCGGATACATATCTGGGAGGGGTTATAGTCATACAGTGTGCACTGTCTCTTTCCAACGGCCCATAAGCTCGAGACAAGGCATCTGGTCCCAAATTAAGACATCCTTTCCGATGATGCACTTGGAATGTAAATTGCTGCAATCTCAGAGTCCATCGAGTTAACCGGGAAGATGTCTTTGGACAATTAAAGGCCCACGTTAAAGCAGCATGATCACTGTAAATGTCAAATGGCCTTCCTTCCAGGTAATGTCTCCATTTTTCCACTGCCCAGACCACCGCTAGACACTCTTTTTCCGAGGTAGAATAGTTTACCTCTGGTCCTCTCAAGGTTCTTGAGGCATAGGCTATTACTCTCTCCCCTTCAGAGGTAAGCTGGGAGAGAATAGCTCCTAGGCCCACATCGCTGGCGTCCGTGTGAACCTGGAATGGTAGATTGAGGTCCGGCTGCATTAGGACAGGTGGGTCTTGCAATTTCCGTTTGATAGTCTGCAGACTGGTTTGGCATTCTGGAGTCCAGTCCCATTTTACTCCTTTCTTCTTTAGATGGTTCAGGGGCGCAGTGATGTCAGCGAAGTGTGGAATGAATTTGTGATACCATCCAGCTAATCCCAAGAAGCGTTGGAGGGCTTTAAGATCTTTGGGCGTGGGATAATCTGACACCGCCAGGGTCTTTTCAGGATCCACTTCCACCCCTTTCTCCGACACGATGTGTCCCAGGAATTTTAACTGTCGTTTAAAGAAGTGGCACTTCTTCATGTTGAGAGTAAGTGAAGCCTGATGAAGTCTGTGTAGAATGGCATTCAGGTGTTGTACATGCTCTTTTATTGTCCGGGAATATATTATAATGTCATCAATATATACAAAGCAAAACTGCCCTCTCAATTCTCCTAAGACTTTTTCCATCAGCCTCTGGAAAGTGGCTGCAGCATTTCTGAGTCCATAAGGCATAGAACGAAATTGGAACAGCCCCTGGGTGGTGATAAAGGCTGTTTTATTCTTACTTTCCTCCTCCATTTCCACTTGCCAGTATCCTGATTGCAAATCCAATGTTGTGAACCATGAGGCGCCTTCCATGGATTCAAGGATGTCATGAATGAGAGGCATCGGATATGCGTCAGGTATGGTCTTACTATTCAACTTCCTATAGTCGATGCAGAACCTGTAGGACCCATCCGGTTTAGGGACCAGGACTACGGGAGACGACCATGGGGAGCAGGAGGGCTCGATAATGTGGTCTCTTAGCATCAGACTGACTTGCTCATCAATTATTTTTTTTTTCAAAGGCGACACTCTGTATGCCCGAGATCTAACAGGCAGCTCATCACATAGTATGATCTTGTGTTGTTCTACCGATGTTTTCCCGAGCAGCTGGGAAGTGGTGTGAGGCCAGGTCTCAATCAGCTTCAGTAACTCTTCCTGATTGTCGGAGTCCCATCTAGGAGTAACTTCCACATCAGGCGAAGCGAGAGAGAGATGTCCTGTAGAAGGCAAGGCATAGTAAAGACTCACGGTCGCAGAAGTGGGTTTTCTCTCTCCTACTGGTATCGTAACACCTCCAGGATTTATGGTAGTCGTTATAAAAGAATGATACATATACCCCTTGCCCACTTTCAGACCATATCTCCCTTGGCCTACATCCACTACAGCTTCAGTGGCTCTGAGGAAATCCAAGCCTGCTATCAGGGGAAATGCCAAATGAGCATCCTTCATGATATATGTATCCACCCCACATACTTTCTCATGCCAATTGTAACAGATGGTTTTCTTATTGAATGCTTGATGTATCTTCCCGTCTGCCATAATGAACTGCTGAAGAGGTACCAGAGGGTTAGCACTTGGTTCACCCCCTAACTGTTTCCACAGACTTTCTTGCATTAGGGTGTAAGTGCTCCCAGTATCTAGTACAGCCTTCACCTCTTTCCCTTTTATTGTTACCGGGACTACTAACAGGGAACTTATAGGGTGTGGTTGCGCAATGGATAATCCTGCTAGACTTTTAGAGTTATTCCGTTCACTTGGTCTTTTATTGGCCTTTTCCTTCCCATTCTGACAATCCACCTTCTGCCAGTAATCCTTAACTCCCATGCAGTCTTTTTCCACCATTGAACCCACTTTTACCAGTTGTTCCACTGTCTTCACCGTTCCCCTCAAACAGCCTGCCACCCTGGGATTCGTGTTGTTAAGGATGCGGCTCACCATCTCTTCTTCAGCCATATCAGGTTTCCACTTAAGACAGAGGGCTCTGTAATCATAAGCGAAATCTCTTAGGCGTTGACGCGGCAGCTGCACCAGAGACCGCAGCTTATCCTCCACCTCAGCGAGGTAATCATCTGGAAGAAACGCATCCATAAATGCCTCTTTGAACGATTGCCAATCAGTCACCTTGTTCCTCTCAGCCTTCCACCAACTCAGGGCAGGTCCTTTAAGAACCGTGCTCAGGGTGCCGACCAGTTCCACACTTGGAAGGGGTCTGATGTTAAGATAGTTCTCACACTGTTCAATAAAGTTGAGCACTTCCGAAGTCTCAGAAGACTCTCCAAACGTCGGAAACTCCAACCGAATTGGGGGCCGGCCACTGAAAGATGAGACACTGGGCACCACTGGAGGGGTAGGCACATTAGATACAGGATTATTTACAGAGGTTACATCATAAGTAGCATTGCCTGTCTGGGCAGTGGGAAAGTTAACACTAGATGTAAACGTGGTCTTTCTATAATCATGAATCGAAGATATGGGAGTAGTTGGTGAATAGGGCTGTAATCTAGACAGATAAGAAGGTGTACTGGAAATTCGCAGCTTTTTCAATTGATTCTCCCATTTTGCATCTCTTCTGAGAAAACAATCAAACACCGCTCTCTCCAACTTTTCCTGTGATTTGCGGAAAAATTCTTCCAAATCTGCCAAGCCAGCGTCCACTGCCTCACGAAAACTAGTTTCTCTATTAATCGAACTGTCCACTGCCTGCTTACAATCATTTTCATTTGTTTGTACTCTAGCACTAAGAGCCAATAAATCCACTTTAAGTTTATCAACTTCAGTTTGCATTGTTTGTAACACATTCACATTCAATACACTGCTTTCCTCATCATCATCATCCTCATCATCAGATTTTTCCTCATCATCAGAAATATACAATGAGCTAAGCATAGATGTTATTTCACCGGTAGGATTACGTCTAGTTACAAACGGACCAGCAGTGAAATCTGCAGCTGTTACACCCAAACTCATTCTTGAGTCTGGAGCACCAGCATCAGAGTTATTGGTATTTACAACTTGTATATTTTCATTAGCATTTCCATTCGGAGATTTCATTCCATCATTTACATTTATCTCTTCATCCATAACCAGGAACAACAAAGAAACAATTTCACAAAAAAAAAACAGAACGTCCCCGTACGGGCCACCACTATGTAACAAACTGATCGTTGTACAGCCAAGTTACAAATTAAATAAGAACGTCTATTCTAATTTCCTTTTCCTTTTTAAGATGGTTGAAAACAGAGTTCATGGAACATACTGCAAGTTCAAAATCTCCTTCCGTGTATTTCACACAAAACATACACACAAACAATAATACACCACAACAATATAAAGCCCGTTGTATGAGAGTAAGTGTGTGTGCATAAGTCCAAAGGCAATGTCTATAGTCCCGCGTGTGTGTGTGTGTGAGTGTGTGTTAAGATCAGCCTCACCAGAAGGAATGTCAACACCGTGAGCGTGATCAAAAGCGGGGATGACAGGCTTAAGTCCTCGAAAAGTAATCCTGGCAACGAGCCAATAGAAGTTCTCCACTGAGGAACGGCGAGTCGGCGCTTCTAAGACCATCGAACCCGGAAAAATCCACATAAACACCGGCCGGTTTTGTGAATGAGAATACGCTTCTCTCGAACATTAGTTTTCCGGTTCCTTTTATGGCAAACTAAAAGTCTTTTCCTGTTTACCTGTGACCAACGCCCACGTGACAAACGTCATCACATGTTCAAGCGCGCACAGAAATTGGGATGCAAATACAGTACAATAACAAGGCATTCAGAGTAAAGAGTAAAGTAGAAAAAGTTAGGAAATTCCCGTGACTAAACATTAAATAATAGTCACTAACCATATCTGAACTTTCCTCCTATGTGGCCACGCTACAATCAGATCTCAGTGACTGTCATTTAGAGTTATCGAGTGTGTAAATATGATATATAGTGTTAATCTGTTATCAGATCTCAGTGACTGTCATTTAGAGTTAATTGTGTAAATATGATATATAGTGTTAATTTGTTATCAGATCTCAGTGACTGTCATTTAGAGTTATCGAGTGTGTAAATATGATATATAGTGTTAATCTGTTATCAGATCTCAGTGACTGTCATTTAGAGTTATCGAGTGTGTAAATATGATATATAGTGTTGATCTGTTATCAGATCTCAGTGACTCGAGTTCTCGAGTGTGCAAATATGATGTAAAATGTTGATCTTATGACTGTTGACCCTTCTGTGTGTGTTTGCAGCTTCTCATCACAATCTCCTTCAATCAACCCGTCAAACTCTTCTCCCTGAAACTGCTGTCTGCTGAACTCGGTAAGACACCAGCTCTCGTTGTTTGACATTAAAAGATCGCGATCTCAATTCAAACACAGGGTTCCCACAGGTCCTCCAAACCCTTGATAATTTGTTTATCTGAAAAAAAAAAAAATTCAAGGCCCCAATTTTTTTGTAAATAAACATGGATGGATACAAGTCCTTGAAAGTGTTTTCTGAAAAAAGTTTTCTGAAAACAACTCCGTATTTTTTTACCTCCGGTCCACTAATGTGTTATTTAACACTTCGTGGCCTATGCGCACTAGCTTGCTTGATTTACATTATTTATGTGCATTTATGCATTACGTTAAAGGGACGGTACCCAAAAATGATAATTCTGTCTGTAATTACTCTCCCTCATGTTCCTCTTAAGACTTTCGTCCATCTTCGAGACACAAATGAAGATATTTTTGATTAAATCTGAGAGCTGTCTCACTCCTCCATAGGCTTCTAAGGGATTGAAACTTGCCAGTCCAGTAAAGTCAGTAAAGACATTGTTTAAATCTGAGTGACTTAATCATATGTTTATCAAGCGACTTTATGTTTATGACATAAGTTTATGTCCTGCTGTATTGTCTCTTCGTGTGTTTTCAGCTCAAGCTCCGAAGAGTGTGAAGATCTTCATTAATCTTCCTCGTTCCATGGGTTTCGATGACGCGGAGAGAAGTGAAGCCACGCAGGTGCTGGATCTGTCCGAGGAAGACTACAAAGATGACGGACTCATCCCGCTCCGATACGTCAAGTTTCAGAACGTCAACAGTGTGACTGTATGTGCAAGTACACACACAGCTGATTCAAACCATATTGCAGATTTTTCTTAAAATACAAATTGGATATAAAAAAAACTACATCACATAAATAGAAATGTATACAAATAATAAGATTATCAAATAAAAAATAAATAACTACAAGATTTCAGTTCAGCATATTAAAATACTTTTAGCATTGATTCCTCAGTGCATAAATTCCCCATCCATAAAATCCAAACATTATTTTTGCCACTTTAAAAAAAAAAAAGTCATCTGTTCATCTTATTTAAGGGATGGTTCACCTCAAAACTAACATTTACATTGATCTAAACCTGTATGTGTTTCTTTCTTCTGTTGAATACAAAAGATATTATGAAGAATGTCAGTAACCAAAGAGTTGCTGGTTCCCATTGACTTCCATAGTATGAAAGAAATTCCCATTGACTTCCATAGTATGAAAAAAATAGTTGCTGGTTCCCATTGACTTCCATAGAATGAAAGAAATTCCCATTGACTAAGATAGTATTAAAAAAATAGTTGCTGGTTCCCATTAACATCCATTGTATGAAAGAAATTCCCATTGACTTCCATAGTATGAAAAAAAAATAGTTGCTGGGTCCCATTGACTTCCATAGTATGAAAAAAATAGTTGCTGGTTCCCATTGACTTCCATAGTATGAAAAAAAATAGTTCCTGGTTCTCATTGACTTCCATAGTATGAAAAAAATAATTGCTGGTTCCCATTAACTTCCATAGTATGAAAAGAAAATAGTTGTTGGTTCCCATTGACTTCCATAGTATTAAAAAAAATAGTTGCTGGTTTCCCATTGACTTCCATAGTATGATAGAAATTCCCATTTACTTCCATAGTATGAAAAAAATAGTTGCTGGTTCCCATTAACTTCCATAGTATGGAAACAAAATAGTTGTTGGTTTCCATTGACTTCCATAGTATTAAAAAATAGTTGCTGGTTTCCCATTGACTTCCATAGTATGATAGAAATTCCCATTGACTTCCATAGTATTAAAAAATGTTGCTGGTTCCCATTGACTTCAATAGTATTAAAAAATAGTTGCTGGTTCCAATTGACTTCCATAGTATTAAAAAAAATAGTTGCTGGTTCCCATTGACTTCTATAGTATTAAAAATTGTTGCTGGTTCCCATTGACTTCTATAGTATTAAACAATTGTTGCTAGTTCCCATTAACCTCCATAGTATGAAAAAAAAATAGTTGCTGGTTCCCATTAACTTCCATAGTATGAAAAAAAAATTGTTGCTGGTTCACATTGACTTCCATAGTATTAATAGTATTAAAAAAAATAGTTGCTGGTTCCAATTGACTTCCATAGTATTAAAAAAAATAGTTGCTGGTTCCCATTGACTTCTATAGTATTAAAAAAATTGTTGCTGGTTCCCATCGACTTCTATAGTATTAAAAAAAATGTTGCTAGTTCCCTTTAACCTCCATAGTATGAAAAAAAAAAAGTTGCTGGTTCCCATTAACTTCCATAGTATGAAAAAAAAATAGTTGCTGGTTCACATTGACTTCCATAGTATTAATAGTATTAAAAAAAATAGTTGCTGGTTCCCATTGACTTCCATAGTATTAAAAAAATAGTTGCTGGTTCCCGTTAACTTCCATTGTATGAAGGAAATTCCCATAGACTTCCATAGTATAAAAAAAAAAGTTGCTGGTTCCCATTGACTTCCATAGTATGGAAGAAATTCCCATTGACTTCCATATTATTAAAAAAAGTTGCTGGTTCCCATTGACTTCAGTAGTATTAAAAAAATGTTGCTGGTTCCCATTGACATCAATAGTATTAAAAAAATTGTTGCTGGTTCACATTGACTTCCATAGTATTAAAAAAAATACTTGCTGGTTCCCATTGACTTCCATAGTATGAAATAAAATAGTTGCTGGTTCCCATTGACTTCCATAGTATTAAAAAAATAGTTGCTGGTTCCCATTGACTTCCGTAGTATTTAAAAAATTGTTGCTGGTTCCCATTGACTTCCATAGTATTAAAAAAAATTGTTGCTGGTTCACATTGACTTCCATAGTATTAAAAAAAATACTTGCTGGTTCCCATTGACTTCCATAGTATGAAATAAAATAGTTGCTGGTTCCCATTGACTTCCATAGTATTTAAAAAATAGTTGCTGGTTCCCATTGACTTCCGTAGTATTTAAAAAATTGTTGCTGGTTCCCATTGACTTCCATAGTATTAAAAAAAATTGTTGCTGGTTCCCATTGACTTCCATAGTATGAAAGAAATTCCAATTGACTTCAATAGTATTTAAAAAAGTTGCTGGTTCTCCTTAACTTCAATAGTATTAAAAAAAATGTTGCTGGTTCCCATTAACTTCCATAGTATGAAAAAAAAAAATGTTGCTGGTTCACATTGACTTCCATAGTATTAAAAAAAATAGTTGCTGGTTCCCATTGACTTCCATAGTATTACAAAAATTGTTGCTGGTTCCCTTTAACTTCCATTGTATGAAAGAAATTCCCATTGACTTCCGTAGCATGAAAAAAAAAGTTGCTGGTTCCCATTGACTTACATAATATGAAAAAGTTGCTGGTTCCCATTGACTTCCATAGTATGAAAAAAAAATAGTTCCTGGTTCTCATTGACTTCCATAGTATGAAAAAAATAATTGCTGGTTCCCATTAACTTCCATAGTATGAAAAGAAAATAGTTGTTGGTTCCCATTGACTTCCATAGTATTAAAAAAAATAGTTGCTGGTTTCCCATTGACTTCCATAGTATGATAGAAATTCCCATTTACTTCCATAGTATGAAAAAAATAGTTGCTGGTTCCCATTAACTTCCATAGTATGGAAACAAAATAGTTGTTGGTTTCCATTGACTTCCGTAGTATTAAAAAATAGTTGCTGGTTTCCCATTGACTTCCATAGTATGATAGAAATTCCCATTGACTTCCATAGTATTAAAAAATGTTGCTGGTTCCCATTGACTTCAATAGTATTAAAAAATAGTTGCTGGTTCCAATTGACTTCCATAGTATTAAAAAAAATAGTTGCTGGTTCCCATTGACTTCTATAGTATTAAAAAATTGTTGCTAGTTCCCATTAACCTCCATAGTATGAAAAAAAAATAGTTGCTGGTTCCCATTAACTTCCATAGTATGAAAAAAAATTGTTGCTGGTTCACATTGACTTCCATAGTATTAATAGTATTAAAAAAAATAGTTGCTGGTTCCAATTGACTTCCATAGTATTAAAAAAAATAGTTGCTGGTTCCCATTGACTTCTATAGTATTAAAAAAATTGTTGCTGGTTCCCATCGACTTCTATAGTATTAAAAAAAATGTTGCTAGTTCCCTTTAACCTCCATAGTATGAAAAAAAATAGTTGCTGGTTCCCATTAACTTCCATAGTATGAAAAAAAAATAGTTGCTGGTTCACATTGACTTCCATAGTATTAAAAAAATAGTTGCTGGTTCCCGTTAACTTCCATTGTAGGAAGGAAATTCCCATAGACTTCCATAGTATAAAAAAAAAGTTGCTGGTTCCCATTGACTTCCATAGTATGGAAGAAATTCCCATTGACTTCCATATTATTAAAAAAAGTTGCTGGTTCCCATTGACTTCAGTAGTATTAAAAAAAATGTTGCTGGTTGCCATTGACATCAATAGTATTAAAAAAATTGTTGCTGGTTCACATTGACTTCCATAGTATTAAAAAAAATACTTGCTGGTTCCCATTGACTTCCATAGTATGAAATAAAATAGTTGCTGGTTCCCATTGACTTCCATAGTATTAAAAAAATAGTTGCTGGTTCCCATTGACTTCCGTAGTATTTAAAAAATTGTTGCTGGTTCCCATTGACTTCCATAGTATTAAAAAAAATTGTTGCTGGTTCCCATTGACTTCCATAGTATGAAAGAAATTCCAATTGACTTCAATAGTATTTAAAAAAGTTGCTGGTTCTCCTTAACTTCAATAGTATTAAAAAAATGTTGCTGGTTCCCATTAACTTCCATAGTATGAAATAAAAAAAAATGTTGCTGGTTCACATTGACTTCCATAGTATTAAAAAAAATAGTTGCTGGTTCCCATTGACTTCCATAGTATTACAAAAATTGTTGCTGGTTCCCTTTAACTTCCATTGTATGAAAGAAATTCCCATTGACTTCCGTAGCATGAAAAAAAAAGTCGCTGGTTCCCATTGACTTACATAATATGAAAAAGTTGCTGGTTCCCATTGACTTCCATAGTATTAAAAAATAGTTGCTGGTTCCTATTAACTCCCATTGTATGAAAAATAATAGTTGCTGGTTCCCATTGACGTCCATAGTATGGAAAAAAATTCCCATTGACTTCCATAGTATTAAAAAAAAGTTGCTGGTTCCCATTGAGTTTCATAGTATGAAAAAATTCCCTTTGACTCCCATAGTATTAAAAAAAAAGGATACAATGGAAGTCAATGGGAACCAACAACTCTTTGGTTACCAACATTTTAAATATATTCTTTTGTGTTCAACAGAAGAAAAACTCGTATAGGTTTAGAACAACATGAGGGAGAATAAATGACATTTTATTTTTTGGGGTGAACTATAATATTTGTAATCTATAATATTTATTATTATGGTATTTTCAGCTCCTTGAGTTTCTCATTTTCCACCTGTTTTTATTTTCAGTTATTTATCAAGTCAAACCAAGGAGACGAGGAGACGACAAAAGTGAACTATTTGACATTTATCGGCACTCCTGTCCAGGCAACAAACATGAACGACTTCAAACGGGTGAGTAAATATTGTTAATCAACAATAATATCATAATCCACTTTACAACATTCAATCAAATCCTGATGAATCCAGTCTGTCTGAAACCACTGTCAGGTTGGAAATGTATTGCTTAGCCGGGCGGAATTTAAATGTGCTGCATTTGATTTTTTGTGTGTCAAATGCAGGTTGTGGGTAAGAAGGGAGAAAGTCACTGAAGAGGAAAAGACGACACGACATATTGCTGCAATCTCTCCACGGGCGTCTCTCTCCGCCAACATGACTGGGCAAAATCAACACACACACACACACACGGAGCTGAGAGCCGGATACGTCCCTCAGTTTGCCATCAGAGGGAGAGGGAGCGAGAGAAGATACAGCTTTGTCTCAATGAGGCCGTGTATCACCAATAATTTTTATCTGAAAACCTCCTGAAAATGTTCCTGTAAATAAAGTCGAACCTTTTTCAAAGGCATGTGGCTACTGTCTATCTGTCCTAACATTCAGAGCTGAAACTCTTGCCTTAACTTAATTTTACATGACTCTAAATGCATTTTTGTGCCATCTTTCTTGAAAGTAATGTGCTCTTGTTCTTGTTCTGGCCGCTGGGTGGCAGCAGACGCCATGTAATCAGCGCGTGTCCGTGGCCGCGCGTCTGGAGCGCGTTCCTGTGAGAGGAGCTTCGCTGTCTAAAAATGAAACGAAAAATGATAACGGGCTTATTGAAAAAGCCATTCAAATCGCATCGCGTATAGTTGCAATATTATCCTTTCATTTTTTTTAAATCCTATAATTGACAATTTACAATAATTTACATTAAAATGAAAATACATATGATGAAATCATTTAAATAGCCTAACGGCGTGTTTTCTTGAAGGAAATAAATATAAATTCCTTTCATAAAACATGCGTTTAAAACACTACATTTAAAACGCAAGCTAGGCCTATATATTTCTTTGGAAAATATGAGGAAAAAACAGAAATGAAAAATTGAGCATTTTTGCTAGTCTAAGTATTTTGTTTATTAAATAAATATTGATTATTAGGCCTAGCTTATATTTGTAGAAAAATGAAATATCTATGTGACTATTATTTAATTCGTCATGATTGTTTAATTAGCCTATTAAAATCAGGATATTAATAACAACAAAAGCATAAAAACATTATTGATAAATCTGATCAATATCGGATTCTTGTGAATTTTAGTGTCTTAAATCGATCGAAATGAATAATTGGAAAAAGTCGCGCATAAACTCACTGTTTTACGCTTTATTTCACATTTTGTTATTATTAAATGATTAATGTAGCCTAATAATGCTCCTAATATCATGCGCCGGCCACAACCAAAATCTTTTTTTTTATTTCTAATTGAATTCTGAAAGCTATTTTGGGGGGTTAAAATGTGAATATTTATTTAGAGGCATAAACGCGCTTGTTTTCTTTGGGTTAACGATTGAGCATAAATAACACACGAAAATACATTTCTGTTTATATATATAAAAAGCTTTAAAACACTCATTATGAAGGCTAAATTAAATATGTTCAGTGCTTTTTTTAAAACGACACCTTTCATGCAAATGACACTTTTTGCTAATTTGCTAATAAACGTAGGCTATTATTTTTTGCTAAACGTTCATAAAAAAACGAATTATGCTTTTTTTAAATGTGTATTTTCAATGTACACATTTTTACAATTTCATTTAATTCATGTTCTATAATTAAATCAGTCAAATATTTCAATCCGCATAACTACACGTGGACCAAATTAAATACGGCAGATTCAGCATAACCTATATTCATAAACCCTCGCGGGTCTATCTGAGGTTCATTTTTCTGTATAATATATTTTGAGGTTTTTTTATGTTGCCATTTTTGCTCTACAATTGTTGTGTAAAAGAGACTGAACTCAGGCCTGATGGTCTGAAGCACAACTGAGACTGTGTTGTAGATGTTGAGCGCTTTAACAGACTCGAGGTCAGATGGTTTGGTTAAACAGGATGTTGGAAGGCAATGAAACATGTTCAGTAATGTAGGCGAATAATAAGTGTATGAAAGAGGGTTCAGTTCAGCGTTAGCGGTCAGTGTGGAGCTGCTTTCTGGATTAGGGCGGTAGTTCAATAAAAAAGAGTCAACAAAATGAACGATTGGTTTTCAAACCGCATTACACTGGAGTCAAGATCAGACGCGATGCTCTTCATTTGAAAAGGTTTTACTTTTGGCGAATTCGGATCACAACCAGCTGACAGATGAAGCAGGTGTCGTGTGAAATCATACTGTCTGTCTCAAAAACTGTAGCCTAAAAGGAGCAAAAATAGAAGTGGCCCATCACATTTATTCCAACCAGAATAAAACACAGACTGTGATGACGCGTTTTAACGGTCACGAGCATTGTGAATCCTTAAATGTTTTAATATATATATATATATATATATATATATATATATATATATATTATATATATATATATATATATATATATATATATATATATATATATATATATATATATATATTTAAATGTATACAATTATAACAATATTATTTGTATTATATTAGCTTTCCATAAAATAAGCAAATAAATTAAACTGTTGTGAGGTTGTTTCTAATACTGCTGCTATGAGAGTGACAGTAAAATTGACATGTCTCTCTATTTCCCCCCTATAAGTTGTGAAAACATAGGTGAAAACACTATTGTGGAGTTTTTCTTTTGCTGTTTGAGCAAATGGGAGACAAACAATACTTATATTTAATGTATTTCCTCATTCACATCACATGTATAAAATAAATGTTTACCCGACTAATAATAAAATGTGAAAAGGCCAAAGTCAATCATTTTGCGCGTTCGCGATTGTTGAAGTGCCGTTGGAACAGGCGGGGTTTTTGCTGTTGTTTGAAATTAAACAAAATGGTGGCGGTTTCCAGAACAGCGCCCACAGGTCAGCATTTTTTTCTAAGTTTAGTATACAAAACATATAATATTCAGCATTATAATACACCTAAATTATGTATAATACACATAGATTTCATGTTAATCAAAAGTGAAATTGCATGGAGAACTGCATTTTTGTTCTGAAGAAAATGATTAAGTAACGTTAATGTTTGTAGGCCTAAACGTCACCTGCACCACACGCAAAATTGTTTTATTGTGCCGTTTCTAAGGTAGTGTTGTTATGGACGTCTGAGTGTTTTTTTAGCAAACCCTTCCTGTGGTGTTTTGCTGGATTTCAACTGTGGTGTTTTGATCACATTTCTAAAGGGTTTAGTGGTTTGTCGCGTTTCTAAACCGTTATGGTGTTCTGAGTAGTTTTAATGCGTTTACAAATTCCAACCCGTTGTTATGATGCCACGAGTGGTATTATTTAACCGTTGCTATGGTGTTCTGAGTTGCTAAACAGCTGTTATGATCTTCTAAGTGGTTATAACAAACTGTTTCTATGGTGTTTAGTTGTGTGTTCAACTATGGTGTTCTGACTGTGTTCTTTAGCCTTTATAAACCGTTGATATGTTGTTCTGAGTGGATTTTTTTTATCGCGTTTCTAGTGTTCCGAGTAGTTTTAGCCCCTTTGCTATGATGTCCTCTTGAGAGGATGTTGCTATGGTGTTGTGTTTGGGTTTCAGCGCATTGTGTTTTGGATGTTTGCCAGGGCATTGCTATGCAGTTGGCGTTCTGAATTGTTTTACCGCGTTGCTATGCAGTTACTAAGGTTTTCTGCATGGTTGCCAGGGCGTAGTTAAGTAGTTGCTTATCGGCCTAAGTAAAAAAAAAAAAAAAAAAGAAGAGCCTAAGCAAAATTTGTCCTTTTATTGGTCACCGACCTCATCTTTCGACACACCATCTTCCCATGTCAGGAGAGAGTCTCTACATGTCTTTCATTCATTCATCACTTAAAAATACATTGCAGACATGAGCCTCCATCTCTCTCTGCTGTCGTCTGTCCATGTTTCTGTCAGGCACTGATCTCTGGTTGGCTGCCGTCTCTCTGCCTGGCACATTGTTCAGAAACACCACCTCTCCTTGAGTTCCTCCTCGATGGCACTGACGCTGGCCTACGGTTGGCACGGCACTAGCTGAATGTGTGCCGCCTTTTGTTGCCCAGAGAACAGGCTGATCCTGGCACAGACTCGCTCTCCTTTCACAGCCCTCCTCCCCCCCGATGCCCTGGAGTCAACTGGCATCATTCCACCAGACATCAGACCGCCCGCCAGCGCCCGCGTGCCCCCGCATGAGCTGCAATACTGGAGCGGTTTCTGCCAGTTATAGGCCTGTGTGTTCTGCTACTACAGCACAATATGCACTGCATTTTTTAAGGTTGGGCGATATGGCAAAAAATATCATATCACGTTTTTTTTTTTTTTTTATCAGGAAGATTGCGATTTATCACGATTCATTTTCACAAATGACTGAACATTTAGGGCAAAGTAGGGGTGCCTTTATAAAAACCTTTATTTCAGTGTTTTGTTTTTGTCATATAAGAGTAAAGAAGCAAATTACAAATAATCAGAAAAAAATACAATAAAATGTACAAATGAAATAAAGTGTTTTAAAATTTTAGGGTTGGACGATATGGCAAAAAAATATCATATCACGTTTTTTTCTTTTTTCAGGAAGATTTCAGGAAGTGCTTTTATCACAATTCCTTTTCATTGGTTTTATTATAAAACTGAATTGTCTTTTTTTTTAAATATCACCCTAAGGTTACAAAATATAAAAGAGAAAGAGAATGACAGAAAGTAGGGGTGGGCGAAGATGATAACCTTTATTTCATTGTTTTATCTTTGTGGCAAAGAAGCAAATTACAAATAATAGGGGGAAAACGTACAATAAAAAAAGAAATAAATAAAATAAACAGTGCTTTTCAGTTATAGTATTTAACCAACATTCAAGTATTTAAATCAACAAATGTAAATTTTAAAACGCTACATACTTCACTCAAACATATTACAATAAATACAAATAAATGAATTTAAAATCGGCATAAAATTACAATTCACCCCATTTTCTAAATGTATTTGTCACAAACTGCTCCGAGACAAGAAGGTTGAGGATCCAAATACAGCTTTATTGAAAGGTTAATTCACAATCGTAGCAAAAGGTTAGAGTACAGTAAATCAGCTCAATCAAACAAACAAATCCAGAGGGTGAGACGGGAACAGGAAAACCAGGACACAGGCAAAAATGAAGAACCAGGAATATAGAAAACAGTGGAATTGCTCATATGCAGTATAAACACTAAACAAGACTTCACCGGAAAGTAATGTGAAAACCATGCTTATATAGGATGATGAGCTAAACAAGGTAATGAATGACATACTGATGAATGTGATCATGCCTGATTAGTCTGGGCAAAGGATTATGGGAAATGTAGTTTGTGGATATGATTGTCCGGGTTGGAGTGCCCTCTAATGGTTATCCCGGGCACTCTCACTTGTGATCTTTACAGTGTTATTCGTTACACTGAGGTTTTCGTTTAGTTT